TTTGTGTAGATCACGTGATAGCATTCAGCGTGCTGACGGACAGCCTTGTGCTGTGAGTGGTGCCGTTCCCTCTGACGCTTATCCACAGACTATCAGGTGTGAGACCCAATGCTTTGTGTTCAGCTGTGTCCGTAACCACGTCAGTGTGTCACTTGGTGATATCGAGTCTCTGTTGCACTTGTCATTCAGATACTCAGTCATTACTGGTTGGGTTTTCTGAAACCAACATGCACATTCCATCCTCAGAAATGGCTGGTTCTGGTTTTGTTTCTTTATCCCCCTCCAGAGATGTCAAGTTTGGATTCAACTTGGAGACTCGTGCAGGCTTTTCCATTGATTTGCTTTCCTGAATCTTGAGCTTAACTAAGCTTGTGTACCAGCCCCCACATGGCAGGTTCATGGGGTTCTTGTCTCATTTTGAACTTTTAGAACAGTGCTCACTCGTCTCATGAACACTGTGTGGCGATGTCATTTGAAGACAAACTTGGAGAAGCTTTTTTATAGCTTTTTTTTAAAATACATATAAAGCTACAGAGTGGAGCCGTGCATACACCCCGAAGAAGTGAGCTCTCTTTTGTTCCCCAAGTGAGCTGAGAACTCTCAAGCCCCCCATTAGTCAGAGAAGTTCCCTTTCCTCAAAAATGTGGGCTTCGCTGGGGCTCAGAACAAACACAAGCAGTCTGTCAAAACTCCCAGTTCAAGCTTAACTAATGAATTACCCATGTCATCCAAGTTCCTGGGGGGTGGGGTTTTTACAATGATTAATATTATGATCATAATGCACTTCAATGTATGCAGTTGGTGGGAGTCACACACATACACACACAGTATCATCGCTAAGTTCATCTCCACAGTATCCCTGCCCTTGTCTTCCTCTGGGCAGCCCTACGCCTGTCGAGAGTGTAATTTATTTTAGGTTTCCTCAGTAGTTCACCACTTTGCTTCTATTTCAGTCAGAGAGAATTCTAAAATTCTTAAGAAATCCTTGCTCCCTGCCTTTGTGCAAAAAACCCCCTGATCTTTATCGACTGGTGGAAAATACCACCTAAGCTGATGAGTTAGGAGTGGATAGTGTGGCTAGAGACAGACCCTGCTACCTTTATTTCTTAAAGATAAAGCCTTTGAATCAATGAAGCTGTTTATGCCCTCTCACGTAGCGCAGAAGTCCCTTCACGAGAGGTGGCCGGGGCCTTGAAAATGCCTACAAGTTCTGAAAGGCCACTGTCACTACCCCAAACCCATGGAACCCAAGTTCTGACGAGCTGGGAAACAGAAGTGGGTGGACTTGTTCTTCCCTATTTTGATAACCTTAGAAATCGGATAGCACTGCCTTCTGTAGGCTCCGTGTATTTCTCCTATGAAGCTTTTCTGAGCCCAGAAGGATCAAGTTGTGTGATTGGAACAAAGGCCTGCTGTTTGTTCGGTCAGGGACCAGTTGTAGCATTGGGTCCTTCATCTGAAATCAGACACACACACCCCCCAGACACCACCCACACCCCACACTCCCTCCACACCACACATACACACACACATACACCACACTACATACATACACACCCCCACACTGCACTACACACACCACATCACACACCCCCACCACACTACACCCCTCACATACACCCCCCTCCACACCATACCACATACATACACACCCCACACCACACTACACACACACACACATACACACACACGCACACCCCCGGGTTGATAAATGCAGCAGAGTGGAGTCCATCGATTCCTTCCGACCGAGGACCACTCGGTGTGTAGGGTAGAGCTGACAGGCGGCTTCTCAGTGTGTGTCACCTTGGGAAGGAGGCCTCCCGCCTGCCGACCCGTCTCATGCTGGAGTCTCTCTCCTCCCCAGTCGGAGCTGGACAAGCCGAGGAGCCGGAAGAAAGGCCCGCTGGTGGAGCCGGAGGAGAAGCTGGGCATGGACGACCTGAGCAAGCTGGTCCAGGAGCAGAAGCCCAAGGGCGGCCAGCGGGGCCGCAAGCGGGGCCTGCCCGTGTCCGAGGCCGACGAGGTGCAGTGGTCCGAGGAGAAGAGGCTCAAGGAGGACCTTCTGCAGAGCGAGGACGAACAGAACAGCCCACCCAAGAAGGGGAAGCGGGGCCGGCCCCCCAAACCTCTTGGCGGGGGCCTCCCCAAAGAGGAGCCCACAATAAAGACGTCCAAAAAAGGAAGCAAAAAGAAGTCGGGGCCTCCAGCCCCCGAGGACGACGACGATGACGACCGGCCGAGCGGAAACCCCGAGCCCAAGGCCAAGAGCAAGCAGCATCGGCCACCGAGGCGGGCACAGCCCAGGTATGTGGGCAGGGGACCAGGGTCCAGGCGGCCACAGGTGCCAAGCACGTCTGATGCTGTCACCTCTCCCCGAGCAGGGCCGATTCTCCTGAAACCAGTGCTGTCGAATCCACGCACACCACACCGCAGAAAGGACGGGGAAGACCGTCAAAAACTCCGTCTCCATCGCAGCTCCCCAAAAACATGTAAGTTGTAAGTAAAGTAACAGTAATTTGTGAGTCAGTTTATTTGGTGGAAGTTCATAGGGAAGGTAGCCAGAGCTATGGTGAAGTCAGCAAGGACTGTGGGGACACATTGGTTAAAGTGCTTACCTGCTAACGGGCTGGGCGGTTCAAGCCTTCTGAGGGAGGAAAGTGAGACGGTTTCACAGCTCTGGGCTCCTGGGGCCAGTTCTGCTGTGGCCTCCAGGTGGCCGCCTGTCAGAATCCACACAGTGAAATGGGGTGTTTTAAACAATCCGTGTCTAGAAAGCTTTGGATCTTCTTCCCTCTCTCCCTCCCTCTCGCATGCACATGTGCACCCTTGTTTTTGAGAGAATTAGAGCATTTGTATCCCCGTAGCTCTAACAGGAGCACCAGTGGTGTAATTTGTAGAGTTCAGACTCAATTTAGGGAGGCTCTTCAGCTCCTGGTGACCCTCCACCCAGTGTCTGAGTCTGGAGCTTGCCTGTTTGCCTCCCTCGTCGAGCTTGCAGACCTTTGGACGGCAGCCCAGAGCATCCTCTTGTCACGAGGGCTGTGGTGATGTTTAATTCACTTATCCCGTGGAAATGAGCGTTAGTCTTCGTAAGGCACTCTCCTCTCCAGCCTGGGCGTGAAGGGACAGTACTGTGTCCCCACAGATGCTCCTCCTTCCTCGGCAGCAAGTGGAGGAGCCGTCGGGTCCAGCACGGCTTCCAGCCGCCTTTTACTTATTTTTCCTTTGGCTAAAAACTAAAGATAAGGAAATGTTTATGGCAGCCTCCTAAGTGCAGACCCAGCCAAGGAAAACTGTCCATTCTAAACAAAGGATTCTTAAGAACATGAAATACCCTTGACTTTGTAACAAGGAGATAAATATCTTTCAAGCACAGAGCTTTAATTTGTTTAAATGTTAGCTCCGTCAAATTCAGGGCTGGGACAGTTATTGTGTACATTCTTGAAATTGCTCGAGGTCTCCTGTGAATGCACAAAGCAGAACAAGCCTCTTTCTTGTTGAGTTTGGAAGCAGAGGAGAATCCCATAGCGTGTTGTGGCCCAGAATGAGACGGGCTGACTCTCAGCGCTCCGACTCGCCCAGTGACTGTGGCTATGGGGGCAGGTGTGCCAGCGACAGTGAGGTTGACCCAGGTCAGGCAGGTTTAGAGCCGCTGTTTGTAGGGTGGTGATAAGTGGTCGTCGTTGGCTCAGCCTTGTCGAATAACAACAGCAACAATAATAGCTTAAAGAAGTAGCGTGCTTATTGCCTAACTAAAAAAGAAATCCACGTGGGTCCTTTTGAGTCCTCTCACATATTTTGTCTAACTCTTGTGTTTCGTTCTGGGGGACAGGCATGGTTCTCCCCCTGATGGGGTTCACCCACTTGTGCGTGTGCAGGAGCAGGGAGCAGGGTGCACCCTGGCGTTAGGATGCTAGAGCAGAAGACAGAAGGAGGGTTTTGGATTTGGATACAAGAAGGCACGCAGTCCAGGGAAGCGTGCTGTGCCAAGTCACTGCCCCTCGGTGTGCCTTGTCACTCTTATTTTTGATGTGTATATGAATTCTGTCTCCGTTTGTTTCTGAGCCTTGGAATGAGAACGATGGCGTCAGCAGAGCACATGCTGTATCCCTTCTTGTTGTGTAACTTACTTATGAGTAAGTAGTGAAACAAGAAACCAGAACCCGATTGTTGAGTTACCTGAAACATCACAGGTCAGCGACTCCGTGTGGATGAGAATGAGACAGGCAGAGTGCGGCGCCAGGCTCCAGCAGCAGCACCTAAATTGGGGGTGATCTTGGCCAGTCCAGAGCTATGTATGTCCCCTATGGTGACTGTGAGGTTCTGGGGAACAGAAGGACAGAAGTGGACAAGGCAGCCAGGACCTCTGCATGTGCCCTTAGAGGTGTTACAAGGTCCTTCTTCCCTCAGTGGGGTAATCTGAGGAGGCTTCCTGGGGGAGGCTGCCTGATGTCTAGACGGGAGATCAGAGGAGGAATGGTGATCTGCTCAGAAAGACTCGCACTTTCAAACTGTGCAGTGGCCAGTGCCCTTCATGGAGTTGAAAGAGAGAGGAGGGAGGGTTGATTTGGGATAATGGTCTAGAATGTTCTCATTTTTAAAACTTGGCCCATCTTTTTTTCTGGGATTCTAGGATTATAATAACCCAGGTAGGGGCCCAAATAGAAGAAAACGGTTTCTCATGACATAATTGAGGATAAAAGAAAGCCGTTTCAGCGTTCATGAGCAGTGAGGTGCAGTCCTCGCCTCCCCCCGCCCATGGTGTTACAGAGTATCTCGCAGTCAGCAGCTCCTGAGACTGGGAATGGGATGGGTCTCTGACAGGCTGGCTTTCCCTCCAGTGTCCGAAGCTGGGAGAACAGGAGTAGCCGTTCTTAGATGGGATCCTGGGAGGGGAGCCCTCGCCGCCTTGCCGCCTCGCACTTCAGTGTGTTGCGTGTGTTTCCTCTAGCCGTGTGGGCCGCACCAAACAGGCCGCAGCAAAAGAGAACGACTCAAGTGAGGAGCTAGATGTGTTTGCAGGCAGCTCTCCTGTCAACGACGACATCACCCAGGAGGAGACCGAGGAAGAGGAGATTTCCACAGTCAACGTATGTGCTAAGGTCCACGTGCACTCATTCAGTGTCCCCTCTGGTGCTCAAGCTCAAACGCACAGTGCCGGTCCCCACTTACCATTCTTGCCATGGTGTCGATCAGCTGTAGGCTTGGCTAGTGGAACCCTGAAGCTGGGTGTGAATTGTACGTTGTAGCCCAGGGAAAATGGGGGCATAGAGAAGAAGCCGTCACTGGTGTGACACCCATCGTGGTTAGAATGCCCTTCCGCATTCCCTGTGCTGCTGGGGCAGTTTCAAGGTGCTCTTCTCTGATGGGGAATTTGGCTCCACTTGAGGGTGCCACATGGTACAAGGTGGCCTGTGCAATTGCTGACACAAGAAGAGGTTGAGTCCGTACCTGCCCAAAAATGTCCACTATAAATGCCGCAAAGGGTTTGGGTCCTGAAGGGCACGGTGTGTGGGACAGCACAGTCTGTTGTTGCTTTTACTGTTTCTCTCTTACCTCCTTGTTTGTTGGGCAGAGATGGGGGTTTTAGGAGCCTTTGAGCAGCCACCCAGGTCCCCCTGTTGGTTTCTGCCTGCCTGGAACAGCATGGAAAGGACTTGAGACTGGGAGGAGGGTTTGTCTCCTTTGCCATGAAACCGGAACTTAATGGTTCCTCACTGCATTTGCTCAACGTTTCCATCAGCTTCTAAAGAAGAATGCTCAAATACAGAGTACAGTTTCTGTTTCTCTCAGAATCTAGACTTTCTTGATCCATTGAGACTGGAATGGACTTTTGTCCCCCAAGCCATGGTTTTGCTGACCACCACAGAGAGCCAGCAGAGAGGCAAGGTGAAGCAGTGGGAGTTTTACCACCATCAGTGCGTAGGGAACAGGTTGGGAGCGTGCAGATCTGTCTTCCCCATGGGGTGGGGTGCCTCTCCAGCAGAGGCTGCACCTTTGTGTCCTGGGGGGAACCTGGGTGAAGATCAGGTCTGCTCACACTGACCAGTTCTGGACCAGCGTGCTGTCTTCATGAGCACGACACTTCCTCTCATCTGTCGTGAGGAGGTGGGTCACTGCTGTGCTTTGAGAAAAGACAGGCTAAGATTAATGCTGGTGTCATAACTTACGACCTCAGCAGGAAGCGAACTGCTGGAGTGAGCTGGAAACAACACACTCCCTTAGAGAATGACAGAAACTCCTTCTGAAACCCAGACCTGAAACCCTGTATCTTTGTGTCAAGAGTTAGGCAAGAAAATGAGGTGAGTTTGACTAGGTGACTTGAAAGGAGAGATGAGAAAGTAAATACAAGATTTGCAATCATGAGTTTGTCTTACTGATGGTGGACTGATTTGCAAGAGAGTCCTAAGAAGGATGGCACAAGTCGAAGAACGCGAGCAGTCTCAAGGGCCAGACCTGGAGGAATTGTTGAATTGGCGTTTTATCATGTATAGTTTTACTTTAAAAATTGTTCGTTTTGGGTTTTGGTGTTTTTAAAGCTACCTTTGTCTTAGTGAACGCAGTGGAGCCTGGGTCTTTTGTTGTCTGTTGCCTTGCTGAGTGCCCGTGGATGCCTTGAGGCCTCGTGTGGGCTTGCTGACGGGCGGCGGGCATGTGGTTGGCCGTCATGTGCTGGCTGCTTTCTCAGCCGGATTGCTGGTGCTCAGGTGTTAAGCCAGTGGCTCAGGTGTCTCTGTGGATAGGAAGGCAGAGGAGGGCCCTGCGTTTCCGTTGGTGGTGCTTGTGAGCATTGGCTCTGGTCGTTCCCTTCTAGAGCTGCTCTCTCCGGAGGGAAAGGGCGAGTGCTTTTTCCTTGATGTTCGGGGACCCCGTCTGGTGAGCATGTTCAGAGGCACCCCAGCCCCTGTGCGCACAGCCTGTGCCACTGGCCCCAGTGCCTCGGGTTAGGCCAGTTACACGTACGGACCTGCAGATCCGCAGGGAAGGAAAGGGTCCTCCAGATACGGGACTTCCAGAGACGCTGTACAGGTGTCCCGGGTACCCCGTGGGCGTGCAGACGTGGTGCAAGGTGGGAAGGAAAGCCAGAGGAGGCCTGGAAGCGGGCACAGCGTTGGCCAGGGCCCTGCTCAGCTGAGAGTCTGTCGCTTGTCTTCGCAGGTCCGGCGGAGAAGCTCCAAGAGAGAGAGGCGATGAGCAGGTGAGCTGGGGACTTTGTGTCGAAAGCTTTGAAGAGAAGGCGTTTCCTTGTCAAGCTTGAGGCCAAGGACAGCTTTGGACGCTAGACCGTGGCTGCTGCAGACTGACGACGCTGGCCCTCGTTTGCTGACCGCGGTCCCGCCTCCACCATACGCACAGTGATGACCGTGACATCGCGCTGCACGCAGCCCTGGCTCTGCAGACAGAACCAAGAAGGAACTTGTAAATACGCCCTTTTTTATTTTTAGTGTTTCTGACTTCTGAAGTGCTTGTATAGCTTCTTCTGCGGCTTTAAGCTGACAGCGCCTGGCCGAGGCTCGGGTCTGTTCATTGGAAGAGTGTCCGGGCAGTGCCAGCCCGGGGCCTGTCAGCGCTGGTATTTGTATCCTCTGCAGTTTTACTGTGAAACAGACTCTTGGGCAGATGGTGCCACTTTCTCGGGGTGGCCATTTGCTGGAGAGTTTTGGTGGTCTCCCCCCTCGTGTATTTCCTCGTGTTTGCTTCCGGACCCCTTCATCTCTGGAGGTGCTACGCCGTCGGCCATCATGACCCAGTGTTGTCTCTGTCCGACTGACACCAGGCAAATTGAAAAGTAATCTTTGCGTTATTTGAATTCTTCCACACCTCAGTATTGGTTCCAGAATTTTCTGGCCTTCCATGGCAATGGAAATTTTAAAAAACAGAGAGATTTAAAATATTTTAATTTTAAAGAGTGTGTTATAAAATAATGTACTGAATTCTATCACTGCTTCTCAGTTTTTATTAACCTACTGTATCAATAAAATTCTGTAATTTGAATGAATTTTTAATAGTCTAGAATGTTCTTGTGTATAGCTATTTCCTCTTGAATATTATGTTTAGAAAATGCAAATTATTACACTATAATATAAAATCTGATATATACATACACATTAGAAGTGTTCCCTTTATCCATACAGTATAAAGTTGATCAGAAAAAGAAAAATTTTATTGATGCAGTGTGTCTTTATAAAGCTGTTCTTGAAAAGCAGGTGTTTTTGTATTTTATAATGAGTTGCATGTTTATGGAAAAAGTACTGAAAATGAGATGTGCTCTTTTCTGTAAATTCGTATTTAGCCATCACATAGGAGAGATTGCCCCATACCGTCGTTTTTCATCAAGTATTATTATTCTTTGTTTGGGAGCCAAGAACCTGGTTTGGTGCAGGCTAGAGTGGGAATGGTACATGAAACTGTGCCAGCTGCTGTGGGTATCACAGACTTAGGAACTTGAGTACATTCCGCTTTGTCTAGGTTTGGGGAAAGTGAAAATTTATTTGAATTCAGGACAGATCTGTCTTTCTTTGTTGTAACCTGTGAAGTACAGAAACCAGTTACTTAAGGCAGTACCCTTTATACGGTTGTATAAAAGTGTGTTTTGAACCAAAACAGAACTTACTACTTAATGTTTAATTCAATTAATTTTCATATTCCAGGTGCTGTTATTTTGTCAGTTTTTCTTTTTCCATTTTCTCTGTGTCTTTGTGACTGTCAGCGTTGTGAAGGTCATGTGGTAACTCCCTCGCTGTCACGTGGAATGACGGAGCATTTCCCGTGGTACCCATGACATTGGGGTGTTGTCGGCACTGCGGGAAGTGAAGATGGGCCCTGACAGAGGATATGATCGTTAACTGTTCTCCGAGTGTGTCACAGTCAATGTGATCTTCTCCCCCTTTCAAGATTTCTTTAGGAAGTGCCCTGCTATTTTTTAAAAAGGCTTTGCATTGTGTCTTACTGCTGAGTGTAGTTGTTAATCACTGACACCCCCGGACACGACAGCGGGGCAGGGTCTGCTCTGTGGGGAGTGAATGTCAGGGCTCAGTGCTGAGCCCTTGTTAGGGGACCTGCTGCCACCATCCTCAGCCTCGCTCTAACAGCCCTGTGTTTTTAAGTCAATCCAGAAGTGTTTATGGAAATACTGTTTCAAGACCACTTTATAAAATATAAGAGAAAAAGCATCTTGAAATGTTACCTGGATGTCGCTTCATATTGACACTGAACATCCATTCACAGAAAACACTAATGTTTGTTGTGAATTTTGTCTGTAGTGCCATGAAGTCTGATTCTGCAACTTGTCTGTTGTATTACACACACACACACACACACACTCTCTCTCTCTCTCTCTCTCTTTTTCTTTTTGGGAGAATTATGATGTAAATGTCTTCAGTCTCCTGTAGAAACAGAAGTAGAATATGATCAAAGTTGTTATGACCTGAATCTTCATCTTAGAGAATCATCTATTAATGTTAAAAGTTAACCTTTCATGTGCTCACATTTGGAGAACCACAGAATTAACTAGACTAAACCAAGTGTGTATAATACAGGAATTGCTCACAGAGCTCAGCAAATGTCAGTGAGAATGTTCCCTTTGAAGCTGTGTACTGTCTAATGTTAAGAGAATGTTTCGCTCACTGTAACAGGCTGCATCCTGAATATGCAGGACTTCTGTGCGAGGCTGCGTGCTGAGCACATGCCTGCCTGTGGCAGTGCACGGTGTGACCCCGCTCTGTGTGTGCCTGTGGCAGTGCACGGGGGTGACCCCGCTCTGTGTGTGCCTGTGGCATTGCCCAGGGGTGACCCCGCTCTGTGTGTGCCTGTGGCAGTGCACGGGGGTGACCCTGGTCTGTGTGTGCCTGTGGCATTGCACAGGGGCGACCCCGCTATGTGGGTGCCTGTGGCATTGCACGGGGGTGACCCCGCTCTTTGTGTGCCTGTGGCAGTGCACGGGGGTGACCCTGGTCTGTGTGTGCCTGTGGCATTGCACGGGGGTGACCCCGCTCTTTGTGTGCCTGTGGCAGTGCACGGGGGTGACCCCGCTCTGTGTGTGCCTGTGGCATTGCACGGGGGTGACCCTGGTCTGTGTGTGCCTGTGGCATTGCACAGGGGCGACCCCGCTATGTGGGTGCCTGTGGCATTGCACGGGGGTGACCCCGCTCTGTGTGTGCCTGTGGCATTGCACGGGTGTGAGCCCGCTCTGTGGGTGCCTGTGGCATTGCACGGGTGTGAGCTCGCTCTGTGGGTGCCTGTGGCATTGCACGGGTGTGAGCCCGCTCTGTGGGTGCCTGTGGCAGTGCATGGGGCGACCCCGCTGCGTGGGCTCCTGCCCATCCAGTATTAAAGGTTCCATTTCTTCTGTCCTGTCTTGTAACTCGTAAATGGTTTTTGAGGTGTGTGGGGGTGCTCATGTGAAGACTGTCAGGCATGTGGTTCCAGCCCCTTCCCTGTGACAGCGTGTCCTGTGCCACCACACTCAGCAGAGGGGAGTTAGATGGGTGACCTACTTCCAGACATCATTTATTTTCTCTGTGATGTTGAATAAACATGGACATTAATATAATTTGTGTTATTTATGTGAAATCAGTATATATATGTAAATATGTGTATGCAACAGAGGAAGTCAAAGTGTGATGAGTCTTTGTTTCCTGAAGAAGGGCCCAGGTGCTATAGTGAGTTCCATGTAGTGCCACCTGCTCGACAAAGGTCGTGAGTTCAAATCCAGCAGCTGCTCTAAGAGCGAAAGATGTGCAGTCTCCTGTGAAGGTTTCTGGCCTCAGACAGCCGGTGGAAGGTCGCAGGGGTCAGAATGGGCTGGGCACTCTGTGTTGCGGAGAGGAGGAAATCTGCTTTCCAGTAACGTTTTTTTCCAGCTTTTCATTTAAACTTCTTGATTTGACAGCTAAGCATCCTTTAAATGAATGAATTATAAACTGAAGAAAACTGCAGTACAGACGACAGAAGCTGAGTGCTAAGGACAGATTGGGCTGGTGGCCAGGCTCCTGCCGTCTGCCAGGTTAAAGAGCAGGATGTCGTCACGGCGCTTAGAGTCCTGTGTGCAGACCCTGGGCCCCTGATGGCAGATGAGGAGCTGGGAAGCCAGTAGCATCGCTGTGTCACCAGCGCCACCTGTGGCACCGTGTGAGGCCAGGACGGAGGGTGGATGTCCCTGAGGGACAAGCTGTTCAGTGTAATTGGAAGTTGTTTGTTCATTGTACAAAATGTGGGATTATCATGCCAGCTCCCGGGAGCTCTCATGACTTAGTGGTGAGAAGATAAACTGCTCATCCAAGGATACGTGGTTCAAACCCACCAGCTGCTCCGTGGGAGGCAGATGTGCAGCCTCTTCACATGCAGTGTACAGCCTCTGCAGACATGCTTGGGGTCAGCCGTGGGTGATCCCAGCTCTGCAGCGCATAAAAACAGCGTAGCAGTAGGAATTCTGCTGACAAAACGGTCTAAGTTGGGCTGCCAGTCCACAGGGAAGCAGTTCAAACCCACTTCCTGCTCTGAAGAGAGAAAAGTGGAGACTCTGCTCCTGGGTGAGACGGCTTTTAGAGCGTGGACGGTCCTCTTCGTGTGGTGCTCATTCAAGGTTTGACGGTCTTGCTCGTTGTCCGCCTCCTCTTTGTTACCCTTGGGTTGTTTTTCTTGCCACGGTCGCCCAGCAGTTCACAGTGACAGTCTGTGCTTGTCTTCTTATGGTGCGCACGTTGTTAGTGTTTTGACACCTGTACACAGCGCTGCCACGTGCTTTCTGCTACGTTGCGTTACCATGCGTAGTTCTGAGTGCTGGAGTATCGCTGTCGCTGTGTGCTGTGGACTCTGCGCCGACCCACAGCTCACCCTCCCGCCGCTTTTCAGAGGCTGTAAGTGGAACAGGGGAGAGTCCGCATCTCAGTAGAGCAGTGGGTGGATTTGAACCATAGGCCTTTTGCTTGGCAGTGCAGCACGTTACTGAAAGTCACTATATTTTTTGTGTTGACTTAGGAATGTTCTCATTTCGTGTCCTTTCTTCCCTTATTCTTGTAGTTCTGTGCATCCATCGTTCTAAAAGCTTCCTGAGTATTCATTGCACCTCTGCTTTGCTCAGAAAGTCTTTACCGCACCTTTGTTCTGAAGTAAGTTTACATTTTCTCCTGGGCTTTCTGCTCTGCTGTGAGAAGTCAGCCAACTGCCCCGCTCTTCTGAAACAGTCTCCCCCC